CACGACTACAAAGGACCGCTGTCGCCGTCAGTTTGTGTTTGTTTGCAGCATGTCCTGCACTGCAGCAGTCTTATTGCCTTGCGCTGCACCGCAAGACTCCAAACGGTTCCGTGGAAGGCTACTCGGCTCCCAGGTTCCCAGGCTTCTGTACTCGCGCTCAATGGCAAAAGTGCCGGATTTGCCCACCGCCCCAACCGTTCTGAGCTCAGCATTTTCGGAGCAGTATGACGTGTGTGATGATGATGTGTGGCACGCCATGTGAAGCAGGCCAGTGCTCAAGAAGCCCTGGCAAACATCGTGCCATGGTCCCTTCGCTGAGTTCTTGATACCGTGTCCCGTCTCGCGGCTAACAGTGCTGCATGCCGTGCCTGCCCGAGGTCCGCAGCCAGCTCCCTCTGAAGTTTCCGCAGGCCAAGCAGATGTTCAAGACACCGCCGCTTGCCATCAACGCAGAAGCCAAGATGGGGGATTTGACCGGATACAAGGCGGGCGCATGTCGATCAATGTCATTTATTGTTTGACCGTTGTCGTTTGTCAGGCTGTGTGGAGCAAAGATGACTGCCAAGCGTCCCTGACATCATCTGGACTTTACGAAGCCAGTGGCCTCGCGCTGTGGCTGGCCACCGAAGCTTTTGCCAGTGCGTCTGAGGATGTGTGCTGGCAGGATCTCCAAACTTTCGAAGACGCTTTCTTCTCCAAGAAAGTTGCTTTCAGCACAGTTGTATCGCGTGAAGCTGCCAAGAAGAAACAAAAAACGTCACGAAACCGGCTGACGTGGGCTTGTGAGATGATTGTCCTCACGGAGTCAGCATCTGACGTGATTCACGAAGAGTTCAACAGCTCGTTGCATCTTGCTAGCGGCGTGTTTGTGTTGTGGGCTTGGTACTTGGCCGTCTTCAAAGCCCTAGGCTCCCAGGACAGTTGCTGCTTGTGTTCACATGACATGACATGTTATTGATTCATCTGACTGATGTGTGCTTGCACTTGGCAGGACAAAGCAGTTTTGGAGATTGTGTGGGAGTGTGGCTGCACTGTCACGATACAGGTTCGCTTGTGTTCCAGCGCAGGGGAGATTGCGAAGAGTCGCAATCTTGCTTCAGAGAAAGTCAAGACACTCGGGCACCCTGGCCTGTCCGACACCTTTTGGACATTTGCAAAGACTGTCCAGCTGCTCAAGGTCGAAAAAGTCCAGGATGGTGAGGAACAGAACTTGAGGTACAACAACACCTTGTACAACACGGCCTTACACCAGGCTGCCACAGCAGCTGTTGCAGTGCTGCGGGGTCCATCCGGTCCCGTGGAGAAGGCTGCCCGGAGATTGGAGCTGGAATTTGAGCGGGGCATCTTGAGCAGTCAGTACTCGAAGTTGAGCAAGCTGTTATCGCTGACCAACAAGCTCGCATCTGCTACCAGAAACGCTGTAGACCTGACGGCCTGGATGATCGACTCCTTGACGCTGGCCCTGCGCATGAACATGGTCCCGCCAGCTAAATGCACCGAGAAGTTTCTGGATCGAGACCGGAAGACAGGCGATGCTGGCTTTTGGTTGTCGCGCATGCTGGTGGTGCAGGCATTGTGGCTATACTATTCTGACTAGCGTGTGTATTTTTTTTTTGCGGAGTGTTGCAAGTCATCGGCAGCTTGAACACTGACAGAGGTCTTCGATTATGCAGCAAAGCTGGCGAACAAGTTGCCGGAGCCGGACAAGGTTAAGCTGACAGGGATTTTGGCTGAACTCCGTTGCCCTTCCACATGTTGGGAGAAATATCTCTGCCATGCTGATGCTGATCAAGGGGCTGCTGTAGAGGACGACATGGACGGCGAGGACCCAGAGGACGTGGAGCGCCCTGTTCCGCAGTCCAAGATTGGAGCTGTTAAAGAGGGTTTCAACAAAGCCATTGGCATGCTTTTGGATTTGCTGCTGGGGCTGATGTCGGGGAAGTACTACAAGGATTGCTGCATGCTGGCTTCGAGTGAAGATGGCCTTGCAAAGGCATTGACAGCTGCACAGCTTGGAAGCTCGGTTGACACGGAGCACGAGGAGCCATGTGCGCTTATCACTCAGATGAAGATCATTGTCGACAAGTTCGACAACAGCACGAAGTCCGTTGGTGCCACATCTGCGGCTCCTGCTCCGAGTTTGCTCCAAAGCCTGGCCAAGGCTTCTGAAGCTGACACACCCGAGGAATGTGTCGAGCGTGAGCGGCAGTGGAAGGCGGTGCAAACGGAACGCCGCAAGTTCGTGTCGTTCTCGGTACCGAACAAGATCTCGAAGGACTGCCTAGTCAATGCGTTCAGAGGTTGCGGCAAGGTCTTCACGCACAAGGGCACCTTAAACTCTTCGCACCGCCTGATCGTTGCCAGTGCGGAGCTCTTGGCAGAGGCTGGTACCGACCCGTGGCTCAAGGGCACTCCGCCAAGCGAGGAATGGAAAGAGATCTGTGCCTTTGCCAAAGACATTTCTGGGCCCGAGGATTTCGTCGTACTCTTCGACGGCAGAATGCGGGAAATTCGCCGCGTGTCCGAGTCTTGGCGGGGGGATGTGACAAGGCTCCCAGGCTCCAAGGCTCAAAGGCTGCACCTGGTTCTTTAAGGAAGACCTCCTGCTGAACCAGCAGCACACCGAGGAGTGCACCATCGTGTACTCAGGTGGGTGCCCGCCGAGAACTGGTCGCACTCGCCGCGTTCCTCTGGCTGCAAAGAAGGTGGAGACAGGAGCGGTTAAGTTCCCGGTCGCACGCACCAAGATTCAGACGACGAAGAAAGGCTCCTTCACAGTCTGCGGCGAGGCTTCTACGTACCAAGGCACTTACTCAGGCGTGGAGTACCGTGCGGTTTCTGAAATGCCCCTCGTGTCTGCAGACACCAAGAAGAAGATCATTGCTCCGGCAACAACCGGCGACCTCCCGACACCGCCAGAGGACTGGCAGGATCGCCACGGCTCCGACGTACCCTTGTTCTGGAACGAGTCGAAGCCGATAGCATATTGGAATGCCATCATTGAGGAGTTTTGCGCGGAGGCAGTGTTTGACCTCACGGCTGGCACCGGTGCTCTGATGGAGGCTTCTTTGACTGCCGGCATCGCATACCACGGGCTTTGCAGCACCCTTACTTGTCCAGTAGATTCGTCAGATCATTGTCATTTGATTTTATTTAAATTGTCCGAGGCCTCAACAAGGAGCACATGTCGTGGGTCCAGGCGGTTGCTGATCGCGCAGCTTGCGGAATGATGGCTTTGGAGGGATCCACTCTTTACTCGGACGAGAATGCCAAAGCGGTGAAGAAGCATTTCCCGCACGTTCTGGAGAGCTTGTCCAACCAAGACGACCAGGACGAGGCACCTGCTGAGCCAGATAGCCCCCGCGATCAACCGCAGTGATGATGTTTGACTTCGACCGAATCCGCCAGCTCAGGCACCAGCTCAGGCACCTAGGCTCCCAGGTTCTCAGGCTCTTGACCTTTTGCCGGGCTCAGTTTTGTCAGTAGTGTGTAGCAGTGACTACTGTCGCCTGAAAACGCCGAAATGCTCTTATTGTGGCATGACATTGAAATAGGACTCGCCGAGGATGTTGTTGTAGTCGCCTGAATGCATTAAAGCGAGCCGGTATGGCCCCAGGTTCCCAGGCTCTGAGGTTCCCTGCTTGGGTTCGACATGGGCTGCCGATGGAGGCCTACCAGACGCCTCTGGGGCAAAACCAGTCTCAAGACGGCTTCTCGTCGGATGCCCCGGGGGTGCCAGCATGGTGGCAGCAAATCGCAGAGCTTGCGGCAAGGCTCGAAGGGCCTTCGTCATCTGGTTCCAGGAAAACTCCGAAGTCAAGAAAGGCGCTCCCAAGCACGAGTTTCTCAATGAGATGAAGCATCTTGGCGCAGTCTGGCAGGGCATGACCGACAAGCAGAAGGCACCATTCATGGCGAGGAGCAAAGAGGAGTTCATGGCTCAGCGAAGTGCACTGGCCGTTCTTGGCATCAGGATGCGGGGCTCCACGACCAGTGCGGGCGGCCCCGACGAGGCGAAGGGCCCCCCTGCCGCTGACGAATCTGGCGGTCGCGTTGGCCCATTTGAGCTTAATGGTGCAAGGGCTCCAATTGGAGGCGGAGCCTATGGCAGTGTCTACAGTTGCCAGCATCCGCAAAGCGGCCTTAACGTGGCGGTGAAGGTTTATCGTGGCTCCGATGGCCCCGTGCAGGCACGAAGTGGAGCAGATGAAGCTTCTAATGAAGGCCGTTCCGCAGCAGAAGATGATGTGGTTCCCGCTTCTTGTCAGCTCGGGTGTCACGGGCAGACCTTGGCCATGGATGGCTACTAGCCTATGTGGGCCCAGCCTGGCAACCGCACTTCGAAATCCTGCGGCGCATGGCAAGCCGAGGACGTGGTCTGTGGCAGCTCAGCTGAGAAGTGCACTGCAGACCTTGCATGACGCAGGCATCCTACACTTGGATGTGAAACCTGGCAATGTTCTTTGGTGCCCTTGCACAGATCAGGTGCAGGTGTGCGACTTCGGCATGAGTGAGAACATGGCACGGCTCCAGAAGGCTTCTCAGGCTCCCAGGTTCCTGCAGTATGTCACGGCTGCCTATCGACCTCCGGAGCTGTGGCCCGCTCGTGTGAATGTCGATGGAGACTGCGGTGTCAGAAAGCAGCTGCTGACTGCAGCTGTGGATATGTGGGCCTATGCTTGCGTGGTGTTTGAGGTGGAGACCGGGAATCCCTTCATGCCCAAGGGGGAGGCCGGACTGAGAGCGTGGTGCAAGCAGTGGCCCGAGCTGTGGAAAACACGCAGCGACTTAGCCAATTGCCCCGCTGCAAGTCACACGTGCTGCACCAAGGTGCTTCGAGCCGGTAAATGGGGGCTGTTTGTGTTGGTCGGCTGTGCTCCAGACCCCGGAAAGCGGCGGTGGCCGGAGCTCTGTCTGAATCAGAAATGACTCGACTGAGCCTCCATTTTTATTTGATGATGGCTCGTATGGTTTAACGTGTGTTTAGAGTCGGTTAAAGGGTTTCAGGGTTAGTTAGTAGGGTGTGACTTTCATAGCCTTCGTGTGTTCAGTTAGCAGCATATCCGAGCATGGGGGCAAGATTGCATGCAATGTGAGATGCAGTGAGTTTCCTCGTTGTAACCGATTCCGCACAGTGCCGTGCGTTGCATCTTGCCGAAGTGGTGAAGTGCGTCGTGACAAGCTGTTTGCAGGGCGTGTCGCGGCTACCAGGTTCCCAGGCTCCAAGGTCTGGCGCAAGCCTGGCTGGGATCCCTAATTCAATTATTTTAATTCTCAGCGCGGGGGTTGTCCGAAAAAGCAGAGGCCAGTGTCGTGAGTCATGTGAACGCACCCAAATGCCACATGTAACCTGGTTCACATGTCGTTCTTTGCAGGCAGGGAGATGGGCAAGCGTGGTCCACGGCCGCAGCGCCAAGGAAGCTGTCAGGACCCGTGCTGCGTTGGACAGTCAAGGTTAATTAATTTGACAGCGGATCTTGGCTGTCGCCAGGATGATTCGATGCTGCGAGGGACCGCATCGACATCGACCCATCGTCGTCAAGGCCACAAGGTTTAGTTTCAAAGCACCCTGCCCTCATGTACGTTTGTGTTCTACTGCTTCTGGCCTTGAATCTGCCTCGCTGCAGACAGCTCGGTACGACCAGGCATGCTGAGTGAAGAACCTGACTGGAATGAGACCCTCTTTCAGCGAAAGAGAGTCAAGATGCAGGCTCCAAGGCTCCAAGGCTGTGAAATGAAAAGGGGGACCCTGCCTCTGGCTCCCGGCCAAGCCTAACTGTGGTCGAAATGTTTTTTCTTCAACGGGGGACCCTCCGTGGCCTCTGGCTCCCGGCCAAGCCTAACTGTGGTCAAAATGAAAGGGGGACCCTCCTTGGCCTCTGGCCCCGTGCCAAGCCTAACTGTGGTCAAAATGAAAGGGGGACCCTCCTTGGCCTCTGGCTCCGGGCCAAGCCTAACTGTGGTCAAAATGAAAGGGGCACCCTCCTTGGCCTCTGGCTCCGGGCCAAGCCTAACTGTGGTCAAAATGAAGGGGGCCAAGCAAGGCTCCAAGGCTCGCAAGGCAAGGCTCCAAGCTGGCTTTGGCTCCAAGGCTCCAGAAAGTGGGACCCTGCTTGCCTTTGGCTCTAAAGCAAGGCCCCCAGGCTGCAAGGCTCCGGGAAATGAAAAGGGGGACCCTCCTTGGCCTCTGGCTCCGGGCCAAGCCTAACTGTGGTCAACATGACGAAAGGGTGCCAAGCAAGGCTCCAAGGCTCGCAAGGCAAGGCTTTGCGCCAAAAAGCTCCAAGGCTCCAGAAAGTGGGACCCTGCTTGCCTTTGGCTACCGGTCCAAATGTAAAGCAAGGCTCCCAGGCTCCAAGGCTCCAAGAAATGAAAAGGGGGGCCCGGAGCCAGAGGTGGTCAAAATGAAGGGGGCCAGCTCCAAGGCTCGCAAGGCAAGGCTCCAAGCTGGCTTTGCGCCAAAAGGCTCCAAGGCTCCAGAAAGTGGGACCCTGCTTGCCTTTGGCTCCCGGTCCAAATGTAGAAATGAAAAGGGGGACCCTCCTTGGCCTCTGGCTCCGGGCCAAGCCTAACTGTGGTCGAAATGTAAGGCAATGCTCCAAGGCTCCAAGGCTACCGAAATGAAAAAGGGGACCCTTCTTGGCGTTTGCGGAGCCCCAAGCCGCCTAGCTGTGGTCGAAATGTAAAGCAAGGCTCCAAGCTCCCTACCTGAAGATGGTGACCCTCCTTGACCTCTGGCTCCGGGCCAAGCCTGACTGTGGTCGAAATGTGAAGCAAGGCTCCCAAGCTCCAAGGCTTCAACCTCCTTGGCCTCTGGCTCCGGGCCAAGCCTAACTGTGGTTGAAATGCAAGGGTTCCGGGCTCCAGGGCTCCACGGCTGCCGGAATGAACAGGGAATGTTGCCTGGTTTACGATGCAAGCTCTTCGTT